CTTTCAATGGAGTGTTTAATCTCCTGGATATCTGTTTGAATCTGTTTTATGGATACCATTTCTTTCCTATGTTGGGCTTTTATTTTTTCCATTTCTTTCTTATGGTGGGCCTTCATAGCTTCTATCGTGGTGCTGAGCTCATCTATTTTTTTGTCAGTTTCTGTTCTATAGTCTCAAATCACAACTTTCATTTTGCTCACCATCTCTATGGTTATCTGGGAAATTATTTGTTTTGAATTTTTCTAGAGCCTGATTGATCTGTTTTGTTACTTCCTGTGCTTTGAGTTCAGGGTGTCCTGGTGGTTCACTATCGGACTTTTCATCCTCATTTGCCCTACTGTTTGCCATTGGTGAACTGGAAGTCTGTCCTTGTGTCTTGCTTAAGTGTTTTCTCATTTTTATTCTTGTTGTTGGGCTGTCCTTGGTTTAATCTCTGGGTTATCACCCAACTCTTCCTGATATAGTTGCGCCCTAGCTTCTGGGTCTCTAACGATCCACAGACATTCTCATCTTCATAACATCAGAGAAAACAGCTTATTGAATCAACCACAATCCTTTATTCCAACCAGCAACATGATATGATCAAGTACAACTTGGAAACTGACCATCTGTGGTAGTCACTAGTCTATCACCCTTAAACCATTTGAATTAAATTGAAATCAAGAAGCAGTCCAAAACAAGTCTGCAGTGAACAAACTTTTCAATATAGTATATTTACCATTTAGGATGGAGGCTCAGACAGAGCTAGGATGCAAGACCCCTGATCTCAGTTAGCTGATGGCTGAACCCCATGACACAGACTGACCTCGGGCTGCAAGGCCAAGATTGAGTTCCCCAACCTTCTGAACGGTTGAACTCCACACCGTTCTAGTACAGGTGTCCCACACCTTTTCTTTAAAGATATTCAACGTTGGGAACTCAGAAAAATACCTTCTATGACCACCTCTGCCTCTGCAGAATGAGTCCAAAGACTGGCTCAATCAGGAGGTCTGAGAGTGCGGGGTGGCGGGGATAGGGGAGTTGTGGGTGTTCAGAGGCATGGCTATCCTTCCCATGGTGGATCAGGGCCCAGGCAGCCCTCCTGGTGCTGGAGCGATGGCCTAAGAGATTTAATATTAATGACAGGAGTTTCAGGAAAAGAAAATAAGGAAATCATTTTTTTCCTGGGAAAAAATTTCCTAGAGCTAAACAATGTGTCAGTATTTAATGAACAAAACTCAGGACCATAGCAAAGCATGTAAGCCTGAAGTTACAAAACATTAAAAAGAAAAAGAAGATTCTAAAAGCTTTCAGAAAAGAAAAATAAGCAAAAATTTAAAACTTGGCAATTAAAATGGCATCAGGTTTTCCCCACATATACCCTTCTGGGATTGAATCCAGGACCTTCGGCTGAGAATTACATCCTCAGGGCTTTTTTTTTTTTTTTTTTTTTTTTTTTTTGGCAGGGTCTCAGTAAGTCACTAACATGCTCGGGCTGGACCTGAACTTTCTTTCTTCTTTTTGGTACCAGGGATTGAACTTGGGACTTGCACTTGCAAGGCAGGTGGCTGAACCACTGAGCTAAATCCCCGGCCCTAGACCTGAACTTTCTATCCCCTGCATTAGCCTCCCAGAATGATGGGATTACAGGTGTAGGCCACCTCACCTGGGTTGAAAGATTTTTTGTTTGTTTGTTTGTTTTGAGACAGGGTCTCACTATGTAGTTGAGTCTGACCTGGAAATCACTTTGTAGCCCAGGCTGATCTCAAACTCACAGTGATTCTCCTGCCTCAGCCTCCCAAGTGCTGGGGTTACAGGCATGCACCACCATGCCCAGCTAAGATTTTAATACTAAAAAGTAAAGAAAAATACAGAATACTTTCAAAATTCTGATGAAAAATAATTTTCATCCATATTTCTGCACCAAATCAAACTACCAACTCAGTGTAAAGGTAAAATAAAGATATTTCTAGGCATACAAATTCACAGGAACATAATTCCCTTTCTAATGAAGTTGTTGGCAAATATTTTCCACTAACAAGAGAGAAAAAAATGAAGAAAGGGAAAGACATGAAATTGTGGAAACAAAAGATCCAATACAAGAAAGAGTCATTCCCAGAAGACTGATGAAGTAAGATTCAAAGATTAAAATCATACAGCAAGCATAGCACCCAATACAAATTAGATTGGAGCAGGTAAAAAAGCTGTTCGTGTCTTCTTCCAGACTAAGCAAAAGAATCCAACACAGGAAGAAGGGGGAAGAGATTTTCTTAGCTCCTCTGAGGAGTTTGAGAATGAGTTAAGTAGTTGGTAAATTAAAAGCTAACAAACCAGCATGGTGGTGCACACCTGCAATCCCAGCACTCAGGAATGTGAGGCAGGGGGATGCTCTAAATTCAAAGCCAGCCTGGGCTACAGAGTGAGTTCACGTCCAGCCTGAATTACATAGCAAGATCCTATCTCAAAAAACCAAAACCAAAAATTTAAAAACTAGTCACTAACAAATGAAAGCATTTTAATTAATATTAATTAAAACATTTATAATATTTATTATATCACATAATATGAACATAAGATGTTGATATTAACTGCAACAGATATATTGTCAGTTTTAGAGAAGCCAAAACACTAATTACCAAATTAATCATAGTTCTATTATTAGCTCTAAAGAAACCAAAAAGTTATACATTAGGGGCTGGGGATTTAGCTCAGTGGTTCTGCCGCCTGCTTTGCAAGCACAAGAACCCCAGTTCAATTCCCAGTACCAAAAAAAAAAAATAATAAAATAAAAAAGTTATACATTAAAGTCAGTATAATCTGTGACTGAGCAAATATCTACCAAGTTCTGATCTAACAGAAAGAAAGATTAGAAAAGAAGGGAATGGCTAGGGATTTAGCTCAGTGGCACTGCGCTTGCAGAAAGGTCCTGAGTTCAATCCCCAATACCAAAAAAAAAAAAAAAAGGAAAAAAAAAAC